CMCTTYCTCCTTGTCCTGTCAYTSCATGCCTTTRTAAAAMGTCCKTCTCCATCTCTYCTGTAGCCCCTTCATGTCCTCTTTCCCCCTTGGCAGCAGAAGAATTTGCCCAAAACTCCTGTCCCCATCCCATCCCATCCCCTCCAGCCCAGGCTGCACATCACACTGGGGGGATGCTGCACATGGCCACCGAGTCAACTCCAGGGTTCAAGTGGCTCATGGAGAGGCCACGGCTGGAAACGATGCCCTGCACACACAAAAATCCTCCTGGTTGGAGATTAGGGAGCCCTAAAGGCTTTGGGAGGTCAGAGAGGGGCRATGTCTGGGTGGGTGTGACCAGGAGAGGGAGAGCCACAGCCAGGCTATTTCTTCATTTGCTTTGAGGCACAGCTAAGGAAAGGGGATATTTTCTATTTGACTTGAAAAAACAGTTATTTATGTCCATTTGGGCAGGAGAAAGGGCTGTGGAAAGTCCCTGGTGTTCCCAAGGTGGGGAATGGCAGCGGTTAAGCCCTGCTGGTGCACACTGTGCCAATCCCCCTTCCCAGCAGGGTTGGGAGGGAAGGTTTCCCATCATCTGCAGCCTTCATACCCTGCTCAGTTGAGCTGTGAGATCCCCACTCCCGGGCTCTGACATGTCCTCAGTCARAGCCTCAGCCCCAGGGAAGGGACTGCTCTGCTGGGCAGCAGGTAAAGCTCAGCTTGAGCCATGCTGAGCTCTGAGCCCAGCTGGAGAGAGGCAGACCCAGGAGCTGGCACGCCTCGGGGGCAAGTCCCAAACCAGCCCAGGAAAGGAGGACGGTGAGCAAATGTTAGGGCAACGCCACAGCAGAGGGAATTGTCAGTAAAGCATCTGTCTGACCACCCTGGGGGTTCACCCAAGCACTAACCAAGCCCTGCTCTCTCTCTCTCTGCAGAGCTTCAGCGAGAGGGAAGCATAGAGACGCTGAGTAACAGCTCCGGTTCCACCAGCGGCAGCATCCCCCGCAACTTCGACGGCTACCGCTCGCCCCTCCCGACCAACGAGAACCAGCCCCTGAGCCTGTTCCCCACGGGATTCCCCTGAGCCAGCCCATGCTGGGGACACCCAGACAGGGTAACGAGCCGCCCTCTGCCCCAGCGATCCCGCTGTGTCTGTCACCTGCCAGCCCCGGCACGGGATGGTTCTCGTTACCCTGATGAATATTGACGACTCTTGAACCTTGGTGGAATCTTGGCTCTGTGTTCCTGTGCAATATAAAGAGGCTCCCTCTTCAATCCTGATAGCTCTGCAGCTTCTTTTCTCGCTGTCTTCAGGAAGAGGTTGGGTGAGGAGAAATATTCCTAAGCCATCTTGGGTCAAGCACATGGTTTCACAACCGTTCTCTGCTTTTTTCTGTGCTGAGAGACAAATCTGCGYAACTCGGAGGAGCTCTCACCGTTGGTGAAAGCGCCGAGCATTAATGGATGAACTGGAGAGACTGGAAACTGGAGGACTTTCTGTGGACAGGGTGATGATGTTATTCCTTCCTCGTCGCGTCTCCTTGCTGCCCTTCTTCCCCTCTGATACTCATCAATACCAGGAGTATTACAAATGGAAATGTTTCTTTTTGTTCTTTGGAAGAATTCTCTCTATCTCTCTCTTTGCTCCGGTTTTCTTCTAGTCATGTATTTTAGAAACGTACTTAATTGACTAACTGCAGTCACRGATTTCTCATCTTTGGTTATAAAAGTTGTTCATTGGAACTCAGATATCTGTCCAGAAATGCATGTGTCATTGAATAAATCTAAGTTAAACAAGAAAATGCTTAAATGGCGATGTTCAYGGAGTGTTACTGGGTTGACTGTGGGCTTTGTGTATCTCCCTGGACCAGACTCTGTGCATATTTACTGACTTGAGGGCTTTAATTAAAGCCATCAGGGGCTGTTTTACAGCCAGTCTAGCATGGCTTTGCCTCCCCTCCTCCTTGTCCCCGTGTGCACAGACAGGATTTTTGAAAACAAGGTGTTCAGGTGGTGTGCCTTGCACCCTCTGGGCACTACTCAAAACCAGCTCCCTGCTTTGGCTGGGGCCCTGCTCCTTCATCCCCCTGATTTCAGTGGGATAAGGACCAGGTGCTGGAAGCAGAGGCCCCCAWTTCCACCCATCCTGTTGTAGGATCRTGGGTCAGAGGCTTTGCAGAGGARCCTGGAGCTCTKCACCCCTYGGAACGTGCAGAGTCAGAGCTAGCGCTGCATAACCCTGCTGATAAAACAGTGCTGGCCTCACACATCATAACCACACGAATTCCTACATCTCAGCCAACTTGTGTCTCCAAGCAGAGTGAGATGGGACTGTCAGCTTATGAAATTTCCTTCCCACTACTTGTTTTTAATAGAARCTGTTTGAGTCATGGCAGGGAGAGGAAACTATCTAAACCCACAAATCTTACAGCTCGAGCCAGCCACACCAAGGGATGCAGAACCAACCACCCTCTTCCTACTCCATCCCCAAACACCCAGTTCAGTCTTGGGTTTGGTTTGGTTTTTTTGCCTTTTTTTTTTTTCTGCTTTTAACTGTAACACAGCCACTCAGAAGCTTTTGTTTTCTTCAGKCTTGGAAACCGCTAATAAAAAGCGAGAGTTTACAGCAATAATTTCAGTTTCTTGCTTGGTTTTCAGTCAGTCTTTTCTCAAGCAGAAAAATAACTTCCTTGGGATGAAATCAGAGGAGAGTTTTGCCTCTAAGTAAGTACTTGCAGCTCCGGCCCGCTGGCTATATCTGCTGTAATGTTATGTTCCTTTTTGTCTGTAAAATAAAGGCTTCGAGTACGGGGTTGAGGGTAGGACTGGCACCGCGGACAAATGGGACCGCAGGGTCAAGTCAGTCCACACCAGTCAGGGTTTTTAACACAGTTCAAGCCAAGGTCAGCTCCAAAAGTTCAAACAAAATCCAGATTAACACATGCAGAAGGGATTGTGTTGTCACCGTGATGCTTGTTTCCTTCCAGGCTTTCCAAGGARCGGGGTAAGGGACAAAGTTCTCGCTGAGGAAGGAGAGAGGCTCCTCTCCCTCCTGCCTGGGACAGCCTGGCTGCTTCTGGCTGAGCACACAAAGTAGGATAGCACATAACACTGAGTGGTGTCATTGCAAATGTATTTGTTGTTGGCAGGCATTAAATCACTTTTTATAAGTGCTGCAATATGGCCATGTGGAAATTCCCAGTCTGCAAGAAGCTACTTTGAATCAGGATGTTTTGTTTAAAATGGGGGGGTGGGGGGAAGGTTCAAAAAAAAACCCTACAAACTGGGGCTGTACCAAAATATTTTCAGTCTGGTTCATTGAAAAGAATGTCCTAAATTCCCTGCTGTTGATAGCCCTGTAACCAAACTGTTAAGAAAGCCTAGAGCCTTAAAAAAAAAAAAAAAAAAGCTTTGCTATGAGGTGGCTAATTTAACTTTAATTTGATACTTTCACAGATGACCCAGCAGAATAACCACTGAGTTCCAGCTCTTCTGTGAGCCAGAGAAAGCTGAGGGAGTTGCAGTGATGACTGTGTAGGATCTGATTCATGGATCACTCCATAGGGTCTGAATTCTCACTGACTCTAAGGTCTGTAGGGTCTGATTTAATGATAATTCTGCAGGGTTTGATTCAATAATAACTCTGTAGGGTCTGCTTCATCAGTAATTCTATAGGATTTGATTCAACACATCCCTGCAGTGTGTTCTTCACTCACAGCACACTCCATTCCCCCCATGGCCCTAAAAGTCTCCCATTTACCTGTGTTCCATGTGCTTTCATACCACACCACCTTTCCTCCTCCTCAACCTCAGCAGACAAATGAGAACTCACTTTGAGGCRCCAAGAGGGAATATTTCTGTTCTTTGATGACCCTAGAAGCTGCTCCTAAGGCAGGTTTGCCCCTGACTTTACCAGGTTTTCACTCTAGGGCCTTGATCCAAACCCAACGCTCCTAGCTTTTGCAGGATTTGGGGCTGTGAAAATTCCCCGGGTGAGTTTCTGACACATCGGATTCAGAGCACAGCACAGGCAGGCGGTCACAGGCAGCTCGGTGAGAATGCTGTGCCCTGATGGAAACCAAAGAGCCCCAGAGACGCGGGACGGGCGGGTTTTTAAACTGTTTCCAGTAGTCGTAAGCACAGGGCTCCTGCTGAGTTCAAAAGGCAAAACGTCTCATTTAGAGCGGGGCGGCCTGTATATCACTCTGGGCATAAAGCGGGGCTCCTCTATTAAAAGTTGAGTTCAGATTTCATGAATTAAGGTGAAATATTGCTTTCTTGTCCTCCCCTGGTTTCTGTAATAAACACACGCGTGTAGCAGGCTTAAATCACGGGAGGGGGACGTGGGGCTGTTTGAAAAGGAGTGGGGAGTCAAAGGTTCTCCAAATGTGACAGCTTGGAGTTCAGATGGAATCAAACCTCGGGGCTGGTGCTTCACAGAAATCCTGGAGCTCAGGATTTGGTGGCTTTGCCGGGGATGCTCTGCCCACCAAACCCTCTGAGGGGAGAGACACTGAGCAGGGTTCCCCAAAACCCCAAACATTTGCTGGGACGAGGCTGGCAGAAGGCAAAGGGCTGGCAAAACTGCCAAAATCTCCGTCCTCCTTCCTCAGCACAAACCCCTGAACTCCGCTCCCCGTCCCTTCTGACCGCCCAAACGAGGGGGCAAATCCATGGTGCTCTCACCAGAGCTCCCTCAGCGATTTTTTGAGGATCCAAACCACGTCTGCGCCACGTCTCTGCATTTATTTTCTCACTCCTTCGCTCTGGCTTGTTGCTGCGCAGGGTAGGAAAGTTTGCGCCATTTCCTGTTGTCTTTCCCTTATGCTCCTGAGATATTGTAAAAATGTTCGGTATCCTCCAGTAGGTTGTAATCACTTCACCCTAATGTTTCACAGCTGCTAAGTGTAACTTTAAACCCGACCATTTGAGTGCTCACAATTAGCGAGTCAATGGGGCTGAGATCGGGTCTTTGTGATTGCAAAAGGAGAAAACGAAACTTTTTTTTTTTTTTTTTTTTT